CTCTTAACCCGATGGCCAGCTCGTTCCATTTCGCCATCTTGAAGCTCACATTTTTCTCTGCTACCTCTCCTCTGTCATCTGGGCTACATTAATGGAGAAATGAGGAGGAACCACAGCAATTATCTGGAAAATTAAGTGGAAAAACATCCAAATTACCTCCTCCTGAAAGGTCTGGGCAAATCTAAAGACCAATATTTTCTATGATTGAGATGACTTCAAGTTTTCAGAACATATAATTCCTTCCAGGAGCATAAAGTTACATTTTTAAAAAGCACAGACATTGCAAATCTCATCCAAATTGCCGGCTATTATTGAGATCTGTCTTAATTCGTTTTTATTAAAATCTAGTCTTTTCCAACTACTCAAAATGTAATGGTTCAACTAATATTAATTTTAGATCAAAGCTAAAATGCTGTATATATTGAAGAAGACTCATCACCACCAACCTATTTTCATTACCATTGCCATTGTCTGGGGCCAAGTCAAACAGTCACATGTGATTGTGCCATGCCAGATGTTTGGCCAGGGGGCCCAACTGTTGGGCTGAGATCCAGTCTGTCACTTACTGAGAATGTCCTATGAATCAGGGATGCATCACCCCCAGAAAAAAAGGGGGTCTTATTGCAAACTGGTTCACAGAAAGCAGTGTCTTCTAATTCTCACAATGGCACTGTATGTTCTAGCTCAAGCACTTTCAAACTGCTGGCAGTTATCAGATGCCATCAATAGCTATGTTTATACAGGGAGACCAGGCATTAGGCTAAGCCAAGAGAGTTCTACATTATCCCTGGTGGCTTGGCTTACTCATTACCAATGCCACTTTCATTCTTAAAAATGTTCAAGACTGAATAATATATTATATGGGTCACTACATAATACTTTAATACTAGCATATTAGTCTTATGTGCTCTGTACAAACTCTGTTGACACATCAAGGAGATTAACCCAGAGGGCAAAACGAGGTCAGTTTAAAACAATGCACAGGACAACAGCTAAGATGATCATGTAGCTGTATTGCATTTATTTTTGAGATTCATTTTGTAGTCCATACTATCTATACATGATTGACTATTTTTTAAACCAGAAAAGAAAAATTGCAATATTTTTGATGCTTGGCTTTGGATAAAAACCCAACTCCTTTGGTGCTTCTCTCATGTAATCACCTGTGTCTATATTTAGGAATTTTGGGTTCTATTTTGGCAGTTTGGGGTCAAGAACAGTGCATTCTAAACAGAAGAGAAGACAGAGTAAGGAATGGCACAATTGATGTGCCAAAGGATAGGAAGTAAATATTTTAGGCTTTGCAGAACAAATGAGCTCTATTGCAACTTCTCAACTGTGCTGTTGTAGGGCAGAAGTCTTCATGGACAATATGTAAATGAATGGGCATGTCTGTGTTCCAACTTACAACAGCAAGTGTTAGGCCAGATGTGGCCTGAAGGCTGCAGTTTGCTGGGCCCTTCAGTTAGAAAACTCATCTGCCCTCTGGTCTTCCCTCTTGGCAGCTGGAAAATGTGCCTTAGTATAGTATAATTCATAGCAAAATCCCCAGCATATCATTCCTTAGCTAAGAAGGCATTCTTGATTTTTATGGCAGAAAACCATTGATATTGAATTGATATTGAGACTCCTATCACATCTCAAGATTTTTTCATAATTTAACAGTTTATTCTTTGAGCAATCTATTCAAGGGGGAACGAATGCATAGCACTGAAACCTCAGAGATCAATACAATGGCTTGATTGCAAATGACATATCACTTTGCCAAAAAAATATGCCCTTAGAATAGCTTACCTAAGAGAAATATCTGCAAGGTCATAAACTGGAAAAGTAGATTATTGATTATCATGAAAGCATTTGAGAATAAGCAACTTAGTAGTTTTCACTCTGCTATTACTGCAATTTTAACATGTAGCTCCCTTTCCTGGTCTGTTATATTCATGGTGGGAATGTCATGAATATAACTTGAAACCAATGAGATGCTCAGGAATACTCAGATCTCAGTTTAAGCCAGAAAAATTAGAATGTGTAGTTATTTCCTCCTAACATAGAATAAAAATATTATTTCCTCCTGTATTTTATCCTTCCTCCCCACTAGAAGAACAATGCGCTTATCCACATTTGCCTCTTGAATAAACAAAACCTTGATTTTCCTGATAAAACACAGCATTTATTTGCGGATAACTCTGTGACTCCATTCTTAGGGAAGACATTTTTTTTTTTCAAATTAGTTACGCTTATAAGATATAAATTTCCAAGTTTGCTTTATACAAAGGTACACAGATGGCGATTAAAATTTCTGGCTCCCAGCCATATCTTTGCTAGAATTCTTTATACTTTAAGGCTTATAGACTATATCAGTTCCTGATAGTTATGTGAGACCTTCAAAACTGATACACATTTTCAACTCTAGGGTTAAAAAGTGTATCATCTTTTGACTCTATCCCTCTGAACTGGAAAGAATCATATATTTAGAAAAAATGCAAACTATCAGAAGAGAGTCTTTCTGTTCTGGGAGTGTTGCTGCCTATTTCTTTATTCTACCTCTTCTGACGTCTTTCAGCTACTTATAGAGGAGCCATGGATTCTTTTCTCCCTCGGTTTCTCTTGAGTTGCTGGAGGAACAGAAGTCTACAGAAAAACAAAACAAAAACTGGACAGGGCATGCATGGGGCGTAACTGGTGACCAGAAGCCAAGGTGTCACAAGACCCCAGGCCAACCTTGTTCATCACCAGCCTAAATCTTAAAATGTCTTTAAAAGTTTCCTGAGCTAAAAATAGGAGCTAGATCAGTGGAATTGAGGAAGGGGATTGCGGGGAAGGGAGGAGGGATGGGAAAGCAAGTGGAGTGGAATGAGTCTGACCAAACTTTCCTATGTACATATATGAATATACCAAGGGAACCTCATCTTCATGCATATCTATGAAGCACTAATTAAAAAAACTATAAATAAATAGAAGAAAGACACGTCCCCCCTGCCCCCCCAATCAAAGCCAGTTAAAAAATATTTCCCACAGGAAATGCACCCTGCTTGCTCTCTCTCGGCCTGTACTGAAGCCAAATTTCTATCTGTTGAGGAAATCTATCTATTGTGTTTCCCCCCCCCCACGCACACACATTATTATTAGTTTGTAAACAATAGCTCTTTTGTTGGAAGTCGGGAATAAAAGAGTCTAAAGTCAGCACACAATTGTGTGATCACTGACTAACCTTGAATCTCAAAGTTGTAAGGAAAAATAAAAGATAACAGTCTTCATAAAACCCATCATCCAGCCCATAACCAAAGATAAGAGGAAACTCTGGAGTCTGAGCAAAAACGTCTAGAAATTCAACTTACAAGGCTCTGGCAATGTTCCCCACGAGGACTTGACCATTTAAAGACATTTTTTTTTTCTGACTTTATTGGCCTATCTTCAGTAAAAGGATCTTTTGGTAGTGCTGACTTTTTAAAGTTTCAGTTATTTGGGGGTAATTAGAATATGAGCTTATATAATGCTAATAGTCTGACAACAAAATATTGGACAAACATTGTTTTCTGATATTTATTTTAGATTCGCTTCATAATTTTCTCTTCCCTTAGAAGATATCTAATAGTCATCTCACATCTCAGCCAGGAGATGTCACTGTAGTTGGATTAAATGGTAAACAGAATAGCTTGGGATATTCTGAAACAGTCTGAGTATTTAGCACTTCCTAAAACTGTTACAATGTATAGCAAGGCACTCTGGAGTATAAGTACCTAGTCTGCTCTTAGCAATTAGAGAACGTTTGTGTTCTACTCCAGAGGAAAAGAGAGAATGCTCACCCCCGACTTCCTTGTTCCTTGCTAAAACGTGAGTGCACTTGAATGATGCAGCATCATAAATTAGGAACTGGTTCATCTGGGGGAGTAAAACTCTGGGGGTTGAAGGTAGGGGAGAGCTTTACTTCTCTAAACTGTGCCACCTTTGAAGTCTCTGGTGTGCACCTAGTGTGGGAGGATGAACAGGGCTTTGCTGGCTATGATTGACAGTTACCAGGTGTCCATCCTATAGATGTTGCTCCTACATTATTATCTCAGACGATGTTTCAGTATGCACTAACTTGTATTTGGCCACATTTGGGGCAAAGGTCAAGTTCATCTTATTCACTGTGCTCTACCTGATAACTATTTGGATCTGGCTTAAGAGAGGTGCTCAAATCCTTGTTGAATAAATAAAGGATGAAACCACATTATTATCATAAGAAAGAAACATAGGTCTGAACTTTGAAAATTTACTAACTGGTACTTTAAAAACAGCTCAGATCCAAGATTTCTGTCTTCCATCTATAGTGGGACGAATGGGAGTCCCCAAAACCTCCAATATATACGTCCATGTTCTAACCCTTGAACTTGTGAAGGTGATTTTGTTGTGGAAAAGTAATTTAATCTGTAATTAAATTAAGGATCTTAGGATAAGAGCATATGGATTATCCTTGGGCCCCAAATGCAATGAAAATTGTCCTTATAAGAGAAACACAGGAGAAAGAATGTGAGGGCAAAGACTGGTGTCACAAAGCCTCAAGCCAAGGAACTCCTGGTGCCACCAGAATCTAGGAGATTCAAGAGAGGAATCTCTCCAAAGTCTTTAGTATAGCCCCACCCACACCAGAACTTCAGACTTTTGGTCTCCAGAACTATGAAAGAATACAGCTCGATGGTTTCAGACCATCAGGTTTGCACTAATTTGTTTCATCAACCCCAGGAAAATAATGTGTAAGCCATGACTTCCAGCTAGACAACGTGGCATTACCTACTGACCCCAGAAAGGGTTCTCCACAGGGTACAGTAGCTCCCTTCCCTTCCTTCTACCTCGGGAGGTGTGCAGCATGCTCACACACAAGGTCTGTTGGTCTGGAGGTAGACCCTCTCCTACCTCATCTACTTATTCATTATCCCCAAACCACTGTTCCCAGACTAACTCCCTCTTTCTCTCTACCCCCCTATATCCCTGTTTCTATTCAACTCAATAACAGGAAGTTGGAGATGAGCTGCAGAGCTGAACATGTTCCTAGGGTGATCACCAGGGTAGTTCCTGGCCAAGAGATTGCTGTTTCTGTACCACACTGGCAGTAAAGTGTGCCCTTCATACACTCTGCTTCTCTACCTGCATCAAGGACCCAGTCCAACAGATCCACGCGTCCAGATTCCTGTATCTGAGTTGAGAATAGGGAGGAGGTGCTGCAGACCATGTTAGAAGCAAGTTCTGTGGGTTAACCTAGACCCCAGGAGAAAGCTGGAAGCCGAGTGTCAGGATCTGATCTGAGTCCTGCCAAAGTCTTCACCTCCCAGAAAGGTGAGTCTAACAATCAACCGTGCCATGTGGGATTTCATAATACTGTGCATGTGTCTGTGAATGAAAGTACTCTTCTCCCACCTATCACATGAAGTAGTTTGAAGTCTATTGTTTGGCTTTTAGACATTTGACTTTTAAATATTTTTAAGATACATGATGGACATAAATAGGCAGTCTTTCTTTTTTAAAAGATGGACTGAGATGAGGAGGAACACACTGTGCTGAGAAGTCATCAGCAGACAACTAACTAGGTGTGCAAGGAATGCAAGCTGAATCAAAGGAGAAGGGAAGCCAAAGAGCCCTAGTTGCTGCTTCCTCTCCAGCCACTAGAAGGGATCTTTGTGGCATTACCTAATCACAGGGTTGAGGACTGCTGTGAGCACAGCGTGTGCATTACAATTTCATTCTGTTATGTTTCCTGCTTCTGTGATTATGTAAAATCAAGTGGGCCCTTGCCATTTATCTTTATAACTCCATAATGATTAGTTATTAGTAAAGCTACAGATGACAACATGATTCACTCCTTAAGAATTAACCCAATTTACCTGCTCTGCTTGCAAAGTGGGTACTCCCTGGGGTTTTTTCCCAAGCTCTAAAACATCAGGTGTGCTGGAAGTTCTCAACCATTGGATTTTTTTCTGTGGGGTCATGTTCTGGATCAGATCCATTCTGGAAACCTGCATGTCAACTTTGTGTCCAGGAGTCAGACCTAAGCATCACAGCTACACAGTGAGGCTCCTTTGCTCTCTGGTTTTCAGTTGGGAATTGAGTTAACAGACAGCCCAGCAGAAATAGCCTGGGCGGGAAAAGAGAGAGGTCATGTTTTTTGTCATCCAGCATCTACCCAGTTGAGTCTCCCTCTAACAGATGGAGACTTCTGTTGCAGACACAGCCCCTGCACCCTCCCACTTCTGCAAGCACTCGGGGAGTATGGCTCCCCTTTCCCTATTGGACCCAAGAGCTATAGAGCATACTTTCCATCTCTGAGGATTCCTCTGAACTTGTTGTCAACTTCATAAAACTCTCTTTAATAAATTCTTTCCTCTTACCTTATTGGAACATTCTACATAGACACATCATTTCTGGACCCTAGGTGGCACCCGAGGCATGAAATATGCTTTAGTGAAATGAGTTATGTTTACTATTTAGATGCATGATTAGGTATGCATCCCTAGAGCTGCCTTACATTGGGAATGACATTGTTTATATTTGAACTATCAAAGCCAAGTTCTTCATGGAGAGAAGAAAAATCTTGAAGAGAAATTCTGATATGAAGAACCACAGAAGGAAGTTTTTTAGACCCAACCATGGGTTTATTTTAGATCCTGATTGCAGTTTGTAACACTAAATTCAGTTTCCACATATTGACTCCTAGTAAGAGCTTAACAGTGCTTAATATGCAAACATAAGAGTTGAAAAGAATGAGACTCAGACACATGCAATAACCAACCACACCCACTTACACCTCTAGTCATGACATAGGCAAGAAGTCCAGAGCAGGTATTCTAGACTGGGGACACAGATGGCTGCACGGCTCTTGCCTAGTCCAGCTACCAGACCACCCTGCCCAGAGGACACTGTGTACTCACAGGCTTCCCATGATTAAGAGGACTTTAAGAATCCTGGAGGCTTAAAGCATGCCTGTTTAATTTCACTTAATCTAATCTTCCAAGCAGATGTCTTTGCAGAACCATTTTCTTAGAAAGCTCATTAGCATCTTGTGTTCATGCACCACAGTTTAGAAGGTGTGGTGTTTTACATCTCTACCTCCATCCACTTCCTGACTTTCATCCCTTGGAGCCAAGTCTAATGCCTGTCAATCCTGTTGGGATAAGTGAGTAAATGCTGGAAAGTCTGCTCTAAAACATCAGGTGTGCTGGAAGTTCTCAACCATTGGATTGTTTTAAAAAATGTACTATATTTGAGAGATTTTCAAAGCATGTCAGTATTTGATGATGATAAGGAAAAGGAAAGAAAAAATTGTAACAGGAAGTTTTCTTTAGCATCTAATGATTTGGACCAAGACAAGGCAAGTGGTCAAAATAATTTGCTAAGAACAATGCTGGTGTGGATGACTTTGTCTAGTGTGTAGAGCCGGCACTTAGCACTATATGAATACAGCACTAGTGTAGTGTACCAGGTGTTAGACTGACCTCTTTCCATGGCCTACCTAACAGAAAGCATGACAATGTCAATCTGTAATTTCATAGTTGAGAAATGGAGGCACAGAAGATTGAACGATTTACTAATATCAGGCGATAAACTACAGCAAGCATCTTTGAGCTCTGTGTAGTCAGATTCAGATTCTATGCTCAGAGGAATGCTTATGTCTATTTAAGAGACACTAACATCCTTCTGTTATGGACCAGCTAGAATGTAAATAAGAAAGGAAGGAAGGAAGGAAGGAAGGAAAGAAACATAAATCACATATAATATTCTAAACTTACTGCAAAGATAGATGAGCTCACAACAGGAAATGCAGTGGATTAAATTTTAAAATCAGGTCGTAGAGTTAAAGAAAGAAATATCTAGTTTAATGAGTTTGGGAAGAATTACAGTTTTGCATCAGTGTGAAAGTGATCTGGAGGTTTTACTAAAGGCAATCCAAGTAGGAGCAGCAGTCTTGGGAGGCTGAATCTGGTGTCCTAGATAGCATTCAGAGCCAGTCATGGTTGACTCTTCCTTGCCACGTGCATTTGATTTTAAGCATTGCACTTCACATGGTCTTCTCAAGAGGTAAGTCATCAGCACAATGCTTCAATTTACCCACTTCCTCTGATGGTCTTCTCACAGCTCCCCTGCTCCTCCCTGCATCCCACTCTGTTTGGCTCAGAGCAGGCCATAAACCCTGGGACCAGAGCCAGGGAGCTGGCATCAAACTGAAGTGAAGTACAGAGGCTGGGAGCCAAAGACTCTAGAGTCTGTAGAGGACTGGAGACCCCTCAGGTACAGAAAGCACAGGCAACACTCATCTGGAAACCACAGCAGGGCACAAGATTGTGTCCTCACAGCAGACTAAGGAGCTTATCAGAGATGAGGTTAGAACTCAAACAGCCTGAAAGACAGCCAGAGGGGTCATGAGTGGCGGCCTGGACCATTTTTCTGTGTTTGTACTTGACCTGGGCATACAGGGGGCTGAAGAGAGGACCAGGTTTCCTTAAAAGGCAGGGGGACTGGGCAGGTGAGGACGTGATAATAGTTTTAGAATATCTGAGATGCTGACATAGAGAAGGACTCTTTGGATACTTTGGGGACCCCATGTGGCTCTGAGTATGTTTCTGGCCTTCGGAGACATTAAAAATGATTGTATTAATAAAAACTGTTCCAAATTATAATGGCTTCTAATAAAAGAAAGACAGCAAGTCAAATAGAACATTTATAGAAATGCCACCTTTCTGAAGATGTGCCATTAAAACCAAGCGCTGAAAGTTGTGCACTAGATGGAGCATAAAGAGAGGGATCTTTCCAGTAAAGGGTACAGGACCCACGGGAGCTGGAGGCACCAACAGGGAAGAGGCAAGCGGGGGCCAAATTCTGTTAAACACTTGTAGGCCTTTCTACAAATTTTGGATTTATACCTCCAGGTAACACTTGAGAAGTTTCTCTTCTCTTCTTTCAACTCCCTTTCTCTTCTTTTGTTTTACCTTTCATGTTTTATTTATTTATTTTAGAAATGTCACATAATGAATGGACATTATAGGTCTTCCTTATTCAGCAAAAATTTAGTGGTCACTAATTTAGTGGTCAAACACTGGGCCAGGGTGTATAGATTAAAACATACATGGATATATAATGGATTGAAGAGTGTTGCCCTCAAATTCATGCCCATCCTGAACTTCAGGTTGTGATCTTGTTTTGAAATAGGGTCTTTGCAGACATAATTAGGTAAGCAGCTGGTCTCCTGCTCCAACATGCTGGGATTTCAGTCTAGTGCCTGATGTCCTTGTAAGACTGGGGAAGAACACAGAGGCACACAGAAGAAAACTGCAAGAAGAGGCACAGACCGATATGATGGATCTCTAATCAAGGATGCCAACAATTGCTGGGTCCCACCAGAAAGTACAAAGAGGCAAAGACAGCATGGCCCTGCCACCATTTTGATTCCAGACCTCTGGCCTCCAGAACTGTAAGAAGTACATTTCTGTCATTGTAACCCACCCCATTTGTGGCAGCCCTAGAAAAAGGATGCCTTTCTCTGATCAAGTAGACCACTATAAATGAAGGGAAAAGTCATGTGATAGAATTACTGTGTTACCACATGTGAGACTTGCATATCCCAGGCATTACAGAGCTCTCAGAGAATCCCTGAAATTATTTCACATCTCTATAAATGTAATCTATTTTCATACTAGTGGGTTTTCAGGAATCCATTTCTTCAAGTACATTTGATGTTAGATGGAAGAAAACGGGGAGAGTAGATTTCTTTGTAATCTAAACCTAATATCAGTGTGTTTCTCTATTTCACCAGACTCAGGGTTTGTACATTTCTGTGCACAACTGAACAACATATGGCTTTAGGGTTTGATTAGATCACTTTCTCTCTCAGAACCACATTGACTCAAATAATTCATATTCTTAAATCCCCCGTCTCAGCACTACTTATGTCCCTGAAATCCCCTCCTGTCCCATCTCTGCATAGCCTCAGTGTTTTGTTTTTAAAGCCTTAATCAAGTATGGCTTCTTCGAAAGGCCTTCATAGTAAACTGTAGTTGAAATAAATTCCCCTTCACCCCTATAATTTTATTACCTTTGACTTTAGCTATTACACATAAGATCTCCAAGAGGGAATGATTTTTACTCATTCTGTAGTTTTCAATCTCTGCCTCTGTCTCAAATAGCCTCTTCCACTTTCTGTGTTTTGTAAAAACATATGTCATTGGATTTAGTGTCCACTGGAATAATCCAGGATGATCCTATTTTGGAAACCTTGATTAATTCTGCAAAGACATTTTCACAAATAAGGTCACATTCATAGATTACATTGGTTAAAAGGTGGACAT